GCGCTCGGGGCCTTTTGTGTTCGGCCTTGCGTTTCTTTTCCCTCCTGGAGTTGTCTTCGGATTGGCTCGTGGAGGATGTGGGGACACTTGGGTCCGTTCCGGGGTCCGGCACCTTGTCCTCGGCTGCGCGTTCGTCGGCTGCCTTGTTGAAGCTGTTCACGCCGATTTTGCGGGATGCGGTTTCCCTGTTCTATGCTTCCCGTCTCGCGTGTCGGCAGGCGGTGCTGGGTTCCTCCGTGGAATCTGCTTGGGCTCTGGCTCTTAGGCGTTCTTCACCTTTTTGTCCTCTCCTGTTTGGGGAGTCGGCCGTGGCGCAGTTTATTCAGGCTGCGTCGGCGGCTTGTCGTCCGATGTCGGACTTGTTGGTTTTCCGGGGGTCCCGGGGTGGGTCTTCCCGGAAAGGTCGTGCCAGGGCTCGGGGTTCCTCTCGTCGTGGTAGGCCTCTGGTGTCAGGTTTGGGGTTGGCTCCTCCTGCGGACCCTCCCTCGTCTGGTCTGCGCGGTGTTCGCGCTGTGCGGGGTTCTGGGTCTTGTAAGGGTCGCCGGCCCTTTCGCGGTTTGCCCCTTTGACGGGGCGATGGGGGGCGGCTTGCGCTGTTCGCCCGCGCCTGGTCCCACGATTCGTGGGCCTTTCGGGTCGTGTCTCGCGGCCTGCGGTGGCGTTGGGTGGCCCCTCCCCCCTTTGGGGGGTCGGGGCAGGCTTCTTCCCCTGCGCTCTGTCGAGTCGTCTTGGAGTGGGTACGCTTGGGCGTCGTCGAAACGACGTCGTCCCTCAGATGGGTTTCCCGTCTGTTTCCGGTTCCGAAACGGGACTGCACGGACCTGCGGTTCATTCTGGACTTGTCCCGTCTGAACCCCTGGGTTCATTGCCCCTCCTTTCGGATGACTACGCTGTCTCAGGTTCGGCTCCTCTTGGAGCCGGGTGCTTGGATGGTGTCCCTGGACCTCCGGGACGCTTATTGGCATGTCCCGATTCATCCGCGGTTCAGGGACTGGCTCGGTTTTGTAGTGGGGCGTCTGAGTTACCGCTTTCGTTGTCTCCCGTTCGGGTTGTACCTGGCACCTCGCGTGTTCACACGCCTTACACGGGTTGTGGTGGCTCGTTTGCGTCTCCTAGGTGTTCGGGTGTTGGCCTACCTCGACGACTGGCTGGTTTGGGCTCCCAGCCAGTCAGCTTGCTTGCTAGCCAGGGTTTTGGTTCTTTCCCAGCTCGCCGGGTTCGGGTTCTTGGTGAACTGGAGGAAGTCCCATCTGGTTCCCTCTCAGGTTCGGACTTGGCTGGGTCTCGTGTGGGACTCTCGGACCGCCTCCTTGTCTCTCCCTCCGGAGTCTCTCCTGCGGCTGCGGTCCCGCCTTCGTCTGTTTCTGGAGGGCCCTCGGGTCACCCGGCGGTTGCTCGAGGGGCTGTGCGGGACCCTGACCTTCGCGATGGTGGTCTACCCGCCGGGTCAGGTTTGGCTTCGACGGCTGTTCTGGTTCCTTCGGGGTTCCCCCTTCCGCCTCTCTCGCGATCGCAGAGTTCGACCCCCGGGGGACTTGCGTCGGTTGCTGCGTCACCGGCTTCCTCTTCGGGTTTTTCGGGGTTCAGTGCCTTGGCGCCTACCCGAGCCCTCGCTCGATGTGTACACGGATGCGTCGTCTCTCGGCTGGGGTTTTGTGACCAGTGCTCACCAGGCCGGCCAGGGGCGTTGGGATCCGTCCTTCCGTCGAGCTCACAGTACGGTGCGGGAGTTCGCGGCAGTGTAGTTTGCTCTGGGGAGGATTCGGGTGGCCCGCGGATCGACGATTCGGCTCCATTCGGACTGCTCTCCGGTGGTTCATTGCCTGAACCGCGGGGGTTCGATGCGGTCCTTGTCTCTTTGGGGTTGGTCGCTTCGGGTGACTCGTCTGCTGAGTTCTCGGGGTTTGGCTCTCCTGGCGGTTCACGTACGGGGCGTGTCCAACGTCTTGGCCGACGCCCTATCTCGCTTCGTTCCCCTCTCCACGGAGTGGACGGTCGACGACGAGTCCTTCCGTTGGCTTTGCCAGACGTTCGGGCGCCCCGAGGTGGACCTCTTCGCGTCGGCGTGGTCGCGGCGTCTTCCCGTTTATGCGGCGCCCTTCCCCGATTGCGAGGCCGTCGGGGTCGATGCCTTTCGGCTCGACTGGTCGAGGTGGGGGTTCCTGTACCTCTTTCCCCCGGTTCGGCTGTTGCTCCAGGTCCTGACTCGCTTAGAGACTTACCGGGGGAGAGTTGTCCTTCTGGCCCCTTGGTGGCCGGCCCAGCCTTGGTTTCAGGCGCTGGTTGCTCGGTGTCCGAACCCGAGGGTTTTCCCGCGGCTCCGCCTCTTTCAGCAGATCGGGCCGGTACGTCACGTAGCTGGTTCGATCTTCTCCTCGTCTTCGCGTATGGTTTTTTTGACTCGAGTCTATCATCATCTCTATGGTGATCAGGTGGCCTCCTTGTTGGTGTCCCACCTGAGGGCTTCTTCTCGGCGGCAGTATGAAGTTTCCTGGCGGTCCTTCCGTTTCTTTTTGCGTCTTCGTCGTGTTAGCTCCTTGTCTGTTCGGGTGGTCTTGTCCTTCCTCTCGTGGTTGTTTCAGGACCGTCATCTTATGCCTAACACTGTCGCTTCGTATCGTGCGGCGCTGGCGGAGCCGCTTCAGCTTGCTTTCGGTATCGATGTTACGTCTGCGCCGTTTCGCAAGCTGTCTCGTGCATTGTTTCACCTCCGGCCTGCTCATGCGTCGCCTGAGCCGTCCTGGTCTTTGGACAGAGTGCTCGCTTTCCTTTCATCTCCTCGTTTCGTTGTGGCCCCTTAGGTCCAGGATTGTTTTTCCAAGGCACTTTTCTTGTTGGCTTTGGCCTCTGGGGGTCGGGTAGGGGAGCTTCATGCTCTCCTCCGGCGCAGGGGTTTCTGCTCTTTTGGTCGTGGTGATAGTTTTGTTCGTTTGCAGCCGTCTCCTTCTTTTCTGGCGAAGAATGAGACTGCTGCGTTCCGGAGGGGTCCATGGGTGGTTGATGCTTGGTTGGTCAGGCCGGGGGTGCATCATGTTTTGTGTCCGGTTGCGGCGCTTCGCCGTTATTTGCGCGCCACAGCTTCTGTGTCCGGGGACGCGCTGTGGGTTGATCCGGTTTCCCTTCTTCCCTGTTCGCGGGTTCGGGTCTCTCAGGTCGTCCGCAGGGTTATTAGGTCTAGCCAGCCTGTGGTCTATCCCCGTGCCCATGACGTTCATAAGTTCGCGGCTCTTGCTGCCGTCTTTGGGAATATGTCTTGGTCTGATATTCGGGCGCGGGGATTTTGGCGGTCGAACAGGGTCCTGGCTGCTCGTTACCTTGTGAATGTCCCTGGCCCTCGTCGGGCCTGTGTTGCTTTGGGTCGGCGGTTGCAGCCAGTTGTCTCGGCTTCGAGTTGAGGGGTGAGCGACGACCGCCTCCCGGGTAAGTCCCTCTTTTTCTGTCTGTGGGTAGTTAGCTCCGGGGAGCCGACGGGGCTTCCCCCAGAAAACCAGCGTTGAATGTAATGAAACGCCATTTTCTGGGTGAGTCCCGGAGGCTCCCCGGCATCCCTCCCTCCCTCCGGTCGGCGGTTTTTCGCGTTTTTGACATCCAGCCTCAAGAACTAAGGTGTGGGTAGCCGGCGCGGGGGGTCTGGGGCTCCCCCTTCCCCCTCCCGGGGAGGGGGGAGCTGCGCAGACAGCGGCGCGGCAGTGTGTGACGTCACACTAATTTGCTTGTTTTCGGTTGGGGAGTTCTATCCATTAGTTCGGTATTATGTAGCAATTTTAACCAGAATAGGGGTTTGTTTTGGGGCGCTTACCTTTCTGGGTGCCTGTTCCGGTCGATGGCAGACATAGAATGCTTCCAACTACACGGGGGCTTCTATAGGCCATTGCTCCCCTTGCCTCTCTGAGGGGGCCCGGTTCTGGCCGTGGTCCCCGGTAGGCCTAAGAACTCCATACACATGACTGATGCCAAAGTCTGACATTAGCATATCGGCCTGGGATAGCTCCGGGGAGCCTCCGGGACTCACCCAGAAAATGGCGTTTCATTACATTCAACGCTGGTTTTTTTCTGCCTTGTGGTTTACTTCCACAGCTTATGGTTGATGTTCACTCCATTCCTGTTGGATGCAGCAATAAACTTGTATGCAGCTTCCCATGTGTTGGGTGTGGCTTCGGGTTCGGGTTCATACTCTCCGCAGTCAAGTGTCTGTCTCTTGGATTCCTGGCTGAAGTAGCAGTTTTGGCATTCCAGTTGTCGATGCGTATGTGGTTTTTTCCTTCATCTTTGCTGCTGGGGACATTCTTGACGCTTGGCCATGTTTGGCGGGGTTCCTTCTCCCAGTCCTTTTATAGTGTGCCTGTTGATGGTGTGGTGGAGGACATTTAAATGCTTTTTGACATTCTTGGTCTTGGGATGCTTAATAGTGGTGTCTCAAGGTTTTTGGTGGATTTTGTTCCCCCCCTTCACCAATGTCTTTGGGATGTGCTCAGCAGTCTGCTCTACTACACAATACTATTTGCAATTTGTTTGACAAGGGTGTCCTGCCTTTTCCTGTTCCTAAGCAAGATACTGTGGAGATGATTTCTGTCTTGGCTCTTGATACTGGTTAAATGAGAAATATTAAGAAAAACTTGAATTTGCATATGATTAGAATTGGCAAGTCGAGCCTGGCCTCAGGCCTGGCTCATGGGAGTAGAACTCCTGAAACCCTCTCCAGGTAGGCCCCCAGGCCTATTTATCACTTGTGGAACCCTCTAATTACCTTCAGGTTCTGTGGAACCCCAGTTGAGTAATGCTGGTCAAGAGTAACAATGTTACACTTGACCAGCTCTGGTAACAATGGATTGGTATAGGCCTAATCTAATGTGGATTGATATCTTGTCCTTTATTTTCTCAATTGTATTTCAGTAGATATCCACAGTTAACTAATAAAATAAAGCAAAATTTGTTATTTATAGTTCACCTTCACTTTACCTGTTTTTTTTATTTACTTAATTACTGGTTTGATATTTTAGGGTGATGGTGAGGTGAATCCAAAGGCCTTTCCTTTGGCCGAAGCCACATTAACACAAAAGCTTCTAAATTTGGTGCATCAGGCGTCAAACTACCAGCAACTTAAGAAGGGCGCTAATGAAGCGACAAAGGCATGTAGAGTTCACGATTTGTTCTTAAATTAAGTATTAAATTGTATTCAATACTTTACTTTAAACCTGCCCTTCACTGTTAAGGCCATTGAACCAGGCTTGCATTTTCAGTTATATTCTGTGACATTTAGCCTTTAAAACCTAAGCATGGTTACTATTAACAGTTAGAAAAAATGTAAACTGAACAAATATAACTACAAGAGCATTTCTTGGTATCATTGAAAATAAAATAAAAAAGTTATAGTATATGAAAGAAATATTAATATTCATGCATGTTTTATAAACAAAGTTTTTTATACAAAATATATTGCATAATAATAACTTTCAAAAAATAAATTTTAAACTTTGTGCCCATATCAGCAGGCTTTACAATGTGAAAATTTCATAATTTGATTAAAGCTAGCATAGAAATGCAAGAAAAACTTGAAAATAGTGAAATTTGAATTTTCCTGTCAAAAATACAGCATCATAAATTGAACAATATCCCTTTAAATTATATAATTTATTTTGCATATAATTTTCAGTAACTTGTATTTAATTAATCTGATTGTTTTATATTTTTATGAAACTAAGTGTAAAATACTGTAGCTAATGATCTACACATTTTTAATGGCAATAAATACAAACATTGCATTGGCAAATGCTGACAAAATGGTTCAAGGAAGACCAGGAAACCTTTAATACAGAAGTTATTTGATGGAATGTTGTGCTTAGCATTTTTGTAGTTTACCTGAATGCGTGTGAAACGCATTTCTTGACATACTGAGTCACTATATAGTGTGCTGATTGTTGTGGAGCACTTTATAGAATGGTGCACATAATAGTTGACGCTAGTAGATTTTCCTGAAGATATTAATAGGTAGTCTTGTCTTTAGTTTGAATGTTTTCAGTCCTAGGGATGCTGAAATGTGATAAAATATGTAATATACTGGGATATATGATGGTTTTTACATGATTTTCTTTTAGTTTCAGTATACCCAAAAGGCAGTGGTTTCCAAGCTTCCAAATTATAACACTAAAACTCTTAAATTATAATTGTACCACTCGCATATTATTTGTAAATGCATAGTTCTAATAATATAAAAGTAAATGTAAATATACAGTATTTGCTTCATATTTAATGACTTAAAACATTTTGGTTTACTTAACCAGTTGCCTTGGCATCCTTCAAAAGTTTTGTTTTATTACTTTTCAAGTATCCTATTTTTTGTCACCGTATTCATGCATGTAGTGAATTTTCATGCTAGATGTTAAACATAACTTGCAGAAAGTTGGCCTGAATGTATGACTTTAGCCACTTGAAAACACAATCTTTAGCATATATTTGCATCTGTAGTCATTTGTACTAATAAATGTAATTATCTTTTCTTTCTTCAGGCTCTCAACCGAGGTATTGCCGAAATGATCATAATGGCAGCAGATGCAGAGCCCCTTGAAATTTTGCTACATTTACCATTGTTGTGTGAAGACAAGAATGTTCCATATGTTTTTGTAAGATCTAAGACAGCCCTCGGTCGTGCTTGTGGTGTGTCACGTGCTGTCATGGCATGTGCCATTTTATCAAATGAGGGCTCGCAACTTAAACCCCAAATCACAATTATGCATCAAGAAATTGAGAAACTACTTGTTTAGGTTATGAATGTGTGTGTATAATTTAAGTTTCTGCAATATTTTGAATGAACTATCATCTTGCAAATTAATTTCCATGTACTGTACTAGTATTAGTTTATACCTTTTTTGTCAAAGCGGAATGATATATAATATATGATATATATATATGAATGATATATAATATATGCTCTAATATTGTTATTTATCATTTATTAAATTAAAAATGTATAAGCTAATTTGAAAACAAGTACTGTATGTTGAAAATATTGGTTATTGTTTTTTGATTTTCATCTAATTTGTTAATAAAATGCAAAGATTATAATCTCTTTTTTTTGCGGACCCGATACTTTTTTTTTAGCAACTTGTAAAATCGACTTTTCTACTGGGGGGGGGGATTTCTATTCTCCTTTTCAATGACAGTACATTTAATCTAGTTTGCTTAATCTTTACTGGTGGCAGTGAGTCGACTAATTTAGGCATAGCAAAAAATCAGTGATACTGAAACTATTAACTTTGAATGCAGTCCTCTTACCATTATTGTGGTTTGATATCCCTGCATTAAGGTGGAGACAATCCATTCAATTACGTCCAACCTTCGTATTGGTATCCTTAATGATATTTAGAACCTTGAATATCTTGCAGCACAAAAGATGTTAAAATATTCTTCCTGGCTTGGTGCCTTTTTTAAGTAACTACAAATACTTTACAAATAATCTTTGTATAAAAATAAACATGCCCAAGTAATTAGGTTAAGGATTTTATAATTGCTGTACAGTACTGTATTTCATTAGTACTATCACTATTCACAACTATTATAACTATATCTTCACTAAAATTACAAATTATTGTAACCATCCTTACTATACAACATACTACTGTCCTCATTAATGTAACCATCATCAATACTATCTTCATCTCTGTAACCATCACTGCTACCCGAGCAGGTTACCCCAAGTTTCCTGTCTACAAACTTCCCTTCACCACCACTCCTCTCTTTCATTCCCTACCCTTCATCTTCCCTACTCTTACTACATTCCATATCTTTCACCACCTCTACAACCTTTTCTCTTCATCCCTGTAACCATTTCCACTAAAATTGTCTTCATTTAATGATGTACAAAATAATATTGTAGATTCTAAGTGTGGAGTCTTCTGTATCAAGATTGTAATTTAGTATCATTTGGCTCGACCCCGACCCACCTATTACCATCCCTGGTCGTCTCCAGTCACTACATAGTTTGGTGAGGCTAGCCACTAGCATCTTCCTACCAATCTTGAACAGACATTCTCTATATAGATATAGATGACCTACCAAATGTCATGCAACACTTTTAAGTCAATACCCCGGTACTATTTGTTGATAACCTTTATTTCCGCGAACTCGAGACCACCTTAACTACTCTCCAAGCACTGAACTTGGTCCAAATTTGGCTTATCACTGTACTAACAAACGGAATCACGGCATTAGTAAGTAAAGCTAAATATTATTTTGAAAAACTACTGTTCAAACAGATTCTAATCACACTATCCAGATTGAGAGCAAAGCTGAGGGGAAATTAGTTAGCAAAATAAACTGCAGAAGACTACTAAATTAACTCCCTTGTTCGATACTTGTGCTACATACCCTTCCCGGCTTGGTGCCTTCTTTTGATAATTACTTTCTTCGTTACTAGCTCCAGCTTGCAATCAAATTCGATCAAGTTAGTGAAAAAAGATATAGGTGTATGTGGATGCATAATGACAGTCATTCATTGTTTTGGATTCCCTTGCATTGTACTGCAAGAACACAAGTTGGTGCCAAGCTTGAAGTAAAGAATGACTGTTGAGCAAAATCTTGTGCAATCAAGTCAGCAATGATTTTTTCTTTAAATCGATTGCAGTGCAATCGAATTAAAAGAAAGCAAGATTTAAAAAAGGAACTAACCAGTGGGCACGATATCTAAGAGTGGTGTTGGTTCGGTGATATTTAATCAACGTAAATTCAATGTTGATGATTCAGCGTTGCTTTGATACTGAGCTCACTGGGTGTCACTTTTCAGTTAAGCCTTCAGCCCCAGGTGCATGTCATGGTTAACTCTTTGTGGACATGTTTGGCTGTGCCCCCACATGGACCTCAGTGCAGTCACAGGCGAAAGATCCCGGTATCATTGCTGCAGCAGGACAAAAACGCTTGGGTAACGATTTCATTCATCTGATGCCTATGTTCATTTGGCTAGTTATTGAACACCCTAGTGCAATGCAGAGGGCTTTAATTTTCATTTCGTTCTCGACCCGAACGGGACAGAAATGTTGGGCACATTCCATCTAATGCACCTGTTCACCTAGCAGTAAATAGGTACCCAGGAGTTATTCAGCTTGTTGCATGCTGAGGAAAGTCAGTAGTTCGACCTTAGGGGGGGGGGAGGATCTCTATTGATTGATGAAGATTAAGGCACCACAAGAGATGTCACGGGCATGAGTTTGGAGTGAATGTAATCTTTGGTCGTGTAAACATCTTGAAGTGGTGTCTTAGAGATCTCGATGATTGATTGATAAAGATTAGGCCACCCAAAAGGTGGCACAGGCATGAATAGCCCGTAAGTGGAGGCCCTTTGGAGCCATTACCAGTATCAATAGCTGGTACTGGGGATCTGCGGAGGAAATTCAATTGATTGATGAAGATTAAGCCACCCAAAAGATGACGCGGGCATGAATAGCCCGTAAGTGGTGGCCCTTTTGAGCCATTACCAGTATCAAGAGCTGATACTGGAGATCTGTGGAGGTGCGAATGCACCCTGCATGACGGGAGATGTCTCCCTTGTGAATGTATTAAGATGAAGATGAAGCCACCCAAAAGGTGGCACGGGCATGAATAGCTCGTAAGTGGTGGCCCTTTTGAGCCATCACCAGTATCAATAGATGATACTGGAGATCTGTGGTGGTGCGACAACACCCTGCGTGACGGGAGATGTCTCCCGGACCAAATGGTGACCAAATGGTGACCAAATGGTGTCCTCGAAATTCAATATGAGCCTATCGTATATATATATATACACAGGCTGGCTGTACCCTAGGAAATGAGTTATCATTCCTTGAGTGTTCCCGGGGTGAGGGGGGGGGGCCTCAGCAACGGCGTCGGCTGCCCACCGCGTGTCATCCGCTGGAAATGGCGCCAAATTTCATTAATATTATGAAAAGCGCATCTGGTGGAAACAAATTAAGTCATAATAATCTTCTGAACGGAAATAACAAGCTATAACGTATCAAATGAGTTTATAAAGGTTGAGGACGGTGCATATAAGTATACCCTTGGGAGACGGAGTGGCGCGTCCGGGACAGGCGGACGGTTAAAAAACAGATCAAAATATATTGACACAAATATATATATAATTTCACTACATAACACCAAAATGGCATCGATTATATAACGAAAAAATACATTTTTGATAGGGTTATGACATGTGAGATATATGGGAGATTTGTGTTGTTATTGCCCGAAACGCTTTGCGTAATAGTGGCTTTAGGCATTGCATGTACTAGTTCTATCTATAAATCCATCAACTTTTGTATCTTACCTTGTATGTATGTACCTTACCCGAATAAAAATTTATTTGTTTATTTATTTATTGGTGGGAGTGTGAGCGTGGAGGGAGGCGGCCACAACCCGCCCGACCCCTCGCTACCACACACACACACACACCGCTGTTTAAACCTTACTACCTGCGTCTCCTCTCTTCTTACTGCGGTAAGCTTACTGGTGTGTGTGTAACTGCTGCTGCTGCTTCTTGGGGAACTGTGGCAGTGTTGGTGCTCTTGTGAAACACGTATTGGTACATTGATCGTGGAGCCAGCTAGTGTAGGTTCATAATGTTTACACAGTGGCAGTGGTGTATGTGTGCGGCCCTGGGGCCTGGCACATGGTGTTTGGGCTATTGTACTCTATGTTCACCCTCCCTTACGAAGGGTATTTTGAACCTTGAGGTTAACGCGGGTTAGTGGTTGATGTGGTGCACCCTGCACGGTCAGTTAGGTTAAGTTAGCACTGGATGGGTGACCCTGCGTCACTCTTGACTAGTGAAGTCCCAATGAGCCAAACACACATCGAATCCTCAGCGGTCTACTATAGACAGCAATAAAGTTGGAAATATATGTGAAGGAAAGCACAGATCTCACCACTAACGAGGACCAATGCACTAAACATATCCACTAACTTTTGTTTTAAGAAAATGTTAACATTCTGAGTTGAGTGAAAAGTGGCTGTGTTGAGTTGGCTACCCATTATTTCTTTGATCTAAACAAATGTACTCTACCCTAGAAAAACTAAGCCTAACCTACAAGTGCATGAATAATTTAAAAGTGGAGATGTTTGGGTTGTTGTGCACTGGCATCGTAATTTTGATGATGTTACTGTACCTCTGAACCAGAATGCTGTGAAACTGTTGGTCCCGGGCTCCCTGGTTATTGCTTCCCTTGCTGTCGAGTGAGACTGTTGTTTACAGTCTCCGTGGTGTAGTGGTAAGACACTCGCCTGGCGTTCCGCGAGCGCTATGTCATGGATTCGTATCCTGGCCGGGGAGGATTTACTGGGCGCAATTCCTTAACTGTAGCCTCTGTTTAACGCAACAGTAAAATGTGTACTTGGATGAAAAAACGATTCTTCGCGGCAGGGGATCGTATTCCAGGGACCTGCCCAAAACGCTACGCGTACTAGTGGCTGTACAAGAATGTAACAACTCTTGTATATATCTCAAATCTCAAAAAAAAAAAAAACATAGTTTAGGAAAATATATGAGAGAAAATGGTGATCTATAAATAAATATATGATACAGCTTGTTGATGTAATACTAAAGGAGATATTAACCAATCTATGCTTGTGGCCATAGTTATGATGCATGCAAAGACATTGACTACCCAAGTGTGGGTTGTTGAGTATTTACTTGTGTTACTTTTATCCAATGAAGCTTCTCTATAATCATGTGTACTATCTCTGTGGTGTAGTATGAACATTCCTTTTAAGTGGTTGCACAGTATAAAATTATCATACTGAACTTTGTCCTTGTAATGAATTTTGTTACTAAACCAAAATGGTTTGCTTTTTTAGTTTTTCACCAGTGTGATATTATTGCTATGCAGGTAATAATTAAATAATTTGTTTTGTTGGGGGACAAGAAGCCTGTGTATGTATATACATTATATAAATATACAGTACAAATAAAAAGGGTCTCCGTAGTACAGTCTAGTTCATTCTCGACACATAATCGAGAATTCCGGGTTCTAATCCTGAGAGAGAGAGAAATGGTTGGGCAAATTTCCTTTCACCTAAGGCCCCCTGTTTGCCTAGCAGTGAGGTGAGTAAGTGCTCAGGAGTTACTCGGCTTGTTGTGGGGTTGCTTATGCAACTTTATGCTTATGCAAGCCCATGCTTATCTAAAGATAGACCTGAATTCAGCTTTGAAAAAAATTGGCATTAAAATGTACACAAATGTATGTTAATTCTTTGCAAAGTTAAATGCATAATAATGTTTGTGTTAAATACAGTAGCAAATTGCAATACTGTATACTTTGGATGTAATTGAACTTCATTTGTTGCAGAAAGTTAGATACAAATCTGTCTGGTCAAGTATTGAAGCAAGATATAACATTATTTATCTTTCCAGATGGCTGATAAAGACAGTGAACCTTGCGATTCTTCGGAGCAAGTGTTGGAAGACACTGATGAGAAGGTAATCTGATAAGTAATGAGGCTTGTTTGTTCTAAGTAGATGTGTAACTTTTATTCATCTTGTTCAGAATGTTGTTATATATTTGTGTAGGTTTTGCTAATCATTCAAACTGAATAACTGTCATAAACATGACATTTGAGCTACAGTATTTATATCAGTGACTCGTTAATTTTTGTTTAGCAAGTTATCCCATTGCACATTTTCCATTTTAGTGCAGTAATACTTTATTTGTATTACAGGTATTAATATTGTATTAATATTTATAATACTGTATTAGAATTAATAATATTTGTGCAGTGATAAAATTTGTATTAGAGAAAATCAGTAGGAGTCATGAGGAGGATTGGAACCTGCATACTGCATACCTGTATTAATAATGTGTCCTAACTTTGTAAATGAAGTAGTATAATTACTGTCATTTATAAATATAAAGACATTTATAATTTATAATGTATTTATAATGTCATTAATGTTTAAGTGACCAAATATATTTTGTATCTTTATATCAGTGTATGTAATGTGTGTCCATATGAAAGTTGGACTATAAAATATTTCAAGGGTTTGTTTTGATGTTTGGCATGATGTCAAACTACATAACTACTAGTTTGACAATTTAGAGACGTGTGTGCCAGCTGGAGTGTGGGTGTTGCTATTGCATTCAGTGCCATGTCAGTGTTTACCTAGTTGTGCTTGTGGGGGTTGAGCTCTGCTCTTTCGGCCCGCCTCTCAACTGTTACTAACTACTAGTGGTCCAGCAACTGTAATAGGCAAGAGCACCCTGTTCTGAAACAAACTATGTTGTCCAGAATTATGGAGATGCTGTGATTCCATGTATTTTGTGATCTTACTTAGCACTCTTTCAAAGATTTTTATGATGTGTGCGTGATGTTAGGGCTCTCGGTCTGTAATTTTTTGCCTCTGCCTTATTTCCTTCTTTATAGAGTAGTGATATCTCTGCTATTTTTAGTATTGTATGTCAGGGATAACGGCAGTAACTAGGCTGTCCAAAGAATGTGAAGGGCCTGCGATAGTGTTTTTTTACAGTTCTTGGTGAATTTAGAGTTCCAAGAATCAGGGCCTGGTGCAGAGTGCATAGGCATACTGTCTATGGCTTCTTCAAAATCCAGTGGGGATTGGGTAACATCTGATATATGATTTGATGTTGGTATCATATCCATGATAAATTTATTTGGATTATCAATCATCAGATTGATAATCTAAACAGATTATCAATCTGTATAGTGACACGCTGAAAACAGTCTTACTGATTCGTTAGTATTTCGGTCATTTCTTTGTTGTCATCAGTGAACGTTCCATCTCCTTTTTGCAGGGGTTCGTTACTAGATGTTTTTTTATCTTGACTTTGCATAGGAGAAAAGAAAATATATTTTGGATTTCTCTCTCTCACTAATGCACTAATGGCCTTTTGCTCTCTTTGCCTCTCCTGGATTTTGTATGATTCCTGTAGCTTTAGTTCAATTGTTTCTATTTCTGAGAGTTATGCAGTTTGAGCATACGTATTTCTAATGCTACCGAGCTTATTTTTTGTTTTATCGAGGATTCGGTTGAATTCCAGATTGCTCTGCTTTTGAGCATGTCATGGTTATGTGGTTTAAAGTGTGTGCTTGTGAGTACCCAGTGTCAGGTTTGAATCCTCCTCATGGTTCCTTCTAATTTTCTAATTGATTCATAATGTTAATGTGATTTCTTTGTGCCCTGTATAAGAGTAAGATGTACAATTATTGAACTTTCTAGATGGCTGATGAAGGTGAAGAGCCCTGTGATTCTTCAGAACACATGACAGAAGATGGCGATGAGAAGGTAAGTCTGATAAGTAATTGTTCACGGTTAATAGATACAATGTGCATACCATTAGGTGAAATTTTTGGTGCATACATGCACTCGGTGGCCCAATGTTGAGCGCCAGAATGTGGGGTTTCGGGTTTTTCTGTACCATAAACAAACCCGTGCACGGCTCTTAGCTCTCAGCTGGGTGCCAGTATATGAGTTATTGTATGAAGGAGGGGTTGATTAAGTAAACAGCCCAACCCAGTAGGCGAGAGCAAACGTTGAAGTCCAACTAATTGAACCTCGTGTCACTGGGTTGCTGGCTCCTCAACTGAATAAATAATTCTAAAGAGTAACTGAGGGGTCCTCACGCCAAATTTAGTATTTAGTGTTTGAAGCTGTGGGCTTGATCCACAAGCTTAAGCCAGTTAAATTCAAGAACACAGATGTAACTGTAGCAAAGCAAAATAACGGGGCAGTACTTATTAAAGATTGTTGACGAAAAGACACTTCGAAACAATCAACAATTTATTCAACAAACTTATTTACTAATACACGGTAATTGACGTTAATATTATAATTATATATTATACGCAAATATTATATTGTAATGGAATTATACTACAGAGAGTAATGTAACTTTAGAGGGTGGCAAGATATGAAGTTTCTTTAGAAGAGGGAATTAACAAAATTTTCATGTACTGTCCAATATAGTGCAAAAATTACAGGTAATTTATCAAAATTTGATACAACAAATGTTAGAAGGCTATCTGGCTGAATGTGAGTGCACATAACTCATTTAGGTTTAATATTCCTTTCATTTCTAGTACTAATGTTGTATTAAGATACACATTTATTGATCTTTCCAGGAGGTTGAAGAAGATGGCGAGCCTTGTGATTCCTCAGAACCTGTTGCAGTAGAAAGTGATGAAAAGGTAATCTGATAATGAGACCTGTTGATTATTAATAGATTGTGTTTGTGTGCATGTCTGTAATGGGATACAGACTGTGGGGAGCCCTGTCGGCTCCCTGATGCTATCTGAACTGATACAGTGCTTTATTAGTTTGGGGTCATCAGTCATCAGAATCCTTTGCCTACCGGGGACCATGAGCCAGAACCTAGCTCCCCTCAGAAACACAGGGAGCAATGGCCTATAAGCACTTTTATTTAAAGTATGTCCTAATTGCCATTGACTGGGGAACGATGCAGAAAGGCAAATCAAAACAAACCACTGTCTGGTTACCCTGTGCAGTCTATGCCCTCACAGATATCAAAATATCTCCCCTAGAAAGGAATTACACCCAACACTTATATAAAATAAATAAATAAATAAATTTTTATTCAGGAAAAGTACATACATACTTGATTTACAAACATAATGTTGGATTTATAGATAGTACATACAATACCTAAAGCCACTAATACGTATAGCATTTCGGGCAACTAGCCCAAACTTCATGCAACTAGCACTCCTGCGTGTTAGTAGGATTTTTGCTTGGTGTGGCTTTTCCAGCAGTGTGTGTGTGTGGTGTGGTGACCAGGCATCTTAGTGTACTGGAGCTGCATGTACTTAGGGTTACTTTCCTAGGTGCTCTGTAAGTACTACCCTTAAATTTCAGGGCTATCTTCCCTCGGGCATTCGGGATTCACTCCCCATAATGGGCTTTCTTGCTTGAGGTTGTCTTTGCCATTGGGGTGTGTCATGGTTCTTGGGGCTTTCTGCCTTGACGGGTAGGGGAGTGTTTTGGCTGGGTGGGGCGCACTGCGGCTGGCGCAGCTTGCAACAGTGGCGGCCGACATTTTTCCCAATTGCCAGTTTGTTGTGTCTTTGTTTTTGTTTTTCATTCTCCAGCCTTCTCGCCTTGTTTCGACAGAGGTGGTCTGCTTAGCTTCTGATTAGGCTAGCCTAGGTTGTGTTGGTAGTTCTGCGCTGTGGCCCTCAAGGTTTCATGGCTGCTACTGGTGGTCAGTTTGCCTGCTAACAGACAGGGTTTTACCAGCTTAGCTAGTCCGAGTACCTGGGCTTCCCGTAGGGTTAATTCACCCTACAGGCCCTGGAAAACTACTGTGGGCTCAGTCGTACTATGGATACTTCTTCCGAGCCCATTTTTGCCTTGTGCGAAGTTGAAGGTTGTTTGTCGCCCCTGCCTCGGAAACAATCATCTGTACTGCCTGTTAGGTCAGGGACACCTACGACCTGGAGTCTTGCGGGATTTATTCCTCACTTGTGCTTCAATTTACTTATCCTTTATCTGATGATCTCGGGGATCAGACAGCAACCAGGTTGTATTCTTGCTTCTCCCTCTTGCAATGGGCTAGGTTGGTTGCCCGGTTGGAGGCCCCGGAGCTGTCCTGCAGGGGGGTTTTAAGGACTTTGATTTGGGGGCATTGGTCACTTCGACCTTGGTTCTGTCCAGGCCCCCTATTCCTTCCCAGGTGGGCATGGTTCGCCCTGTTCCCAGTTCCCAAACGTCTGAGGGATTCAGAGTCAGGGCAGGGTTTTGATTGGGATGAGGCTTGGGTGGTTTTGGGGGCTGCCCCTTCCGATTTGAGCACATAGGTAGTTGTGGTCAATTGGTTGCTTCTGGGTTGACTCAGAAGCTTGCTTCTGGGCTTGCTCGCATGGAGACCACCAACCAGGCCACGGGGCGTTGATTCCTGGAATCGTTCAAAGGTAAGATGAATATTTTTGTGAAAGTTGAAATTTACAATGAGTATTTTTTATTATACAATTGATCTTACTTCGTATTTGAAAAATGTAACCTTTAAGGAATCGTTTACAATGTATTTTTAGAGAGAGTATGAATTTAAAAATATTAACCTTGCATAAATGATTCAGTGGAGATTGTCATTAGTGAGAAAACTAAATAAATTGCCATTATTACTACACCAACTACATCTAGCTCCCACTCTTCCATCTCCTTCACCTCTCTTCCATTTTCTTTTCCATGTCCTCCCATCTCTACATATAGATTTGTATGAAAGACATAAATGTTAGAATTAACTTGTGATTTTTCACAACTATGCAAAAAATAATTAGTCTAGTAATAATCATTATTTAGCAATACAATTTACAAAACAGTTAATTTTGTTGGGATAATTTATTGAACTGTACTATGAAATATTCTTGCTACAAAGATTGTTTTTGTTATATATTGGTGGCAGAGTGAGCTGCAGTCTCTAACATGATCTGTTTTGATAAAAGCATTAGTTTGTAACATTGTTACTTGTTTTCTAGGATGTAACATCGGCGTCGACAGAGAATGATAGTGCGAAGGTCCCTGAAGAGTCTTCTGCAAATGACACTGACAAAAAGGAGGAAATGGAAGTTGCTGTATGTATACACATTTTAAGTTGCTGTGTGATTAACGTTATTGATTACAATACTGTACTAACAAAATTAACTTTTCCTTTTTGGACTTGTATTCTAATTTATATTTTTGAGCTATCCCATTCAGTAGCTACCTAACATAACATCTATGTTATAACAGGACTATACAGTCAGGTAGTATGACTTATTGCACCAGCACTACCTTTAAAGTCGTCTATGCAGTCATTATAGGTGCTGGAAAAGTGCTGTAGATGCTAGAGTTGCTTAGGTTATGACATATTTTGGCATTACATTATAATAAGCATTTTCCCTGAGCACGCCTTCCTCACCGCCCAGTTGTGCTCGGTGGTCAACCACAATGTTATTGTAACTCCTGACAAATGTCTTTGTTTTCTGCACCTGTTCCTTCAATGACAGTAGTAACAGACACATTAACTGAATTACTAGGAAGAAATAAACTTGGACTGCTAAGTGTATAGTGAAGGTCTAGTTAGTTAATTAACCCTTAAACTTCCACTTGCCATATGTAATTTTTCCCATTTCATTTAATTATTACTTTGCCAGACGCACCTTGATGTGATAGTTTTAAGTAGCTGTGCAATTCAGGGGTTAATACAGATAACTTAGACTTCTATTCCCCCTTGCTGTCAAGTTATGTTTTTTGTGGCTTAGCTGTGTAACATATCAGAAAAATGGAGAAAGACTGTAATTAATGCATGGAATGGGAATGAGTGAGGTGGAAGGGAGGAGTGATGAGTGGTTAGGAGAAGGGAATGTTTAGAATGAAAGAAAATGGGTTAGAGTAGATACAGTAGGTAAGAGGTAGATAGAAAGGGTAACAACTACAAACATGTAAGTCATATAGCCAAGGATCTTTAAGTCATAATCTTTAGCCAGTAATTTTTACCACTTCAGTGGGGGGGGGGGGAGTTATATAGCTTCAGGGCACCCATTCCCCCAACCACTAGGCATGGGGAGAGGCATGTACCCCTAAGTACACATATACATAGTTCCCTAACAACACAAACTAAAATATATAAAAATGGTTAGATGGTATATCTCTGAAAGGAGTTAAGGTGAAAAATAAAAATGGTTAGTACTATGGAAAATTCTTTTGTATTTTGTTTTTCTTATATAAGACAAGGCACACAAAGGGAGGAATACACAGCATATTAAAGAGAATGAGGTGAAGGCAGAACAACAGGCTGCCTAAATGGCAGGTATGGTGACTTGACAACAGCATACGTAGAAAATATAATTTGTAGCGGAAGCGCCTCAAAGGCCCCGGAGCAGGAGGGTTGTCATGTATGCGCATGCGGGTCCCTCCAGCCAGGTCATCTGCTCTTCTGTGAGAAACAATTCAGGGAAGTGGTGCCCTTGGTAACGACTCTGCATAGGTAGTTATCTGCCAGCTATTCTGGCCGAGGGTCACCCCATCCTGATTGTGGGGTGCATGCGAACAACCCTAGTCCATATAGTACACTTCAAAGTGCTCTTCACTCTAGCTTTCACTGTATCATGAAGGTAACAAAAAAAAAAAAAAAAAAAAAAAAAAAAAAAAAAAAAAAAAAAAAAAAAAAAAAAACCCAAGTTCACTTACATTAATATTAAACCACTCATTTATATTATTAACTCTTGCACATGCACTGCTTTCTTTGTAGAAGTTTTCACAGTATTTAACAGCCTTCTGCAAACTCCATAACATGCTCCCATAAGGTACTGTCCTTGCACTGTTACTCCTCATCATTATGGATGAGACAGGCCAAAGTTATATATAATTTTTTGTCAATTTAAAAAATTGCCTCCGTGAAGCTATAGAAAAATTATTTTATATTTAATTTTATATTTTGTACCCTAAAATTGTTCTGCATTTAAAAAAAAAACTTAAGTAATAAACATTTCTTTTCTTACAATTTGGGTAACCCAAATGTTGATATAACCTGAATGTGTGTCCATCCCATGTGCTCTAGTATATCAGGATAATACTCTTACTATGCTGTTCAGTGTCTCGCAGAACATATTATAATTACACTATTTAATTAGTTTTATATGATAGTTCCTGTCTGAATATCTTTAATATTTTAGGGTGGTGAGCAACCACAAAAGAAGGCCAAAAAGAAAAAAAGAAGTGCTGTCCCACTAGCTGACAGTGCATTTAACCATAAGCTGCTGAATTTGATCAATGCAGCAGCTGGCCGTAGAGAAGTTCTGACAAGCGTTAAAAGAGTAATAAGGGTAAGTACATATGATGTACATGAGGTGTAAGTTTTTTTGTTTTATGGTTATTTAAAATTTGTGTGTAATGTGTTACAGGAAAGCTGAGAAAACTGAATTAATTTCTAAGAAATTTGGTATTTACTTTAATTCAGATTTGGGGGTGGGGGTTGTGTTGTACTGTAAATGGAAAAATAACAAAATATATTCTAGCAAATATAATACTCCTGTCCTCATATAGGAGTAATTACATATTTCCAAAGGAATATGCTACTTAGTTTTCCTGGCTTGGTGCCTTCTTTTGATAATTACTTCAGAAGGAATACAATTTAGTTTTAAGTGATACGATTAATTTCCTTCAACGTACAAGACATCTGTGATGCCTTGAAAAATTTGTGCATATCAGCTTCAAACATTAAGACTAGAAATGGTGACCTACAGGTTCATTTGTTCTGCCAAATGTCATTCCTTATCTAGATGAAGATTTGTAAGATTGCTGGCAAATTAATTTTTGATGTGCCCATCATTCATCTCCAGGATTCTCAGCTCAGCTTCTATCTCTTAAGCCATTAGTTTTGATTCTTGCTTACCTTCCTTGGCCAAAAATTCCTTGCTGAATCCCTGTCTTTGGTATTTGACACAGTTTTGATAGTCCAATGATTTTGCAACTTTCTGAACTTGACTGTCCCTTTACCACTCCATGTCAGCCAGCTCCAATGATACTATATTCATTATAAAATCCTCCACCTTCTCTTGTATTATTAATCAGATTTGGGACACTGTCAGGGCCTGAGCCTTGGCTTGATGCTGTTGTGCTCCTGGTCGAGAAGCCTTATTGGAAGTGTTGCAACATAACTGAAATCCTGGTCAATTTGGAAGCCTATTCATAATTTTTGTTATGGAACTGTTGATGCCTTTTTTTTTATAATATATATGTACGTATGTATGTATGTATATATATATATAGGGTGTGTTTTCTCATCTCCAAGGATGGGAATGCATTTGACATTACCTGGAGGTATAATATATTGACCCAATTGCATTATTTTTTGGTCTCCAAGCCAATTCACCTTTTCCTCAAAAGCTTCCTTGCCGGATATACCCATAAAGTCGCCTTGGGACTATCGTCTCGGCTCCTCATTGGCAATACAAGGATATCTTCCTAAGGCAGTGTTTTAAGCACTATAATCATTCTGGTTGCCATAAAGGGTTTCTTCTTTACCCTGACACAGGTTTATTCTGGACTTGATGTAAACTACTTCAACCTTTTGCTGTTTTCATACCGATTTTTCCCTTGGTATTAAATCTAGCATGCAATGGATAGTTTAGTTTATAGCCATAAATGGCCCCCCTAGGCTGGCACTATGAAGATTTACCCCCCCCCTCCACTTTCCTAGCCTTTTGCCACCCCTACCACAAGAATATTACAATACACTCACCTCTTTCTAATACTTTTCCTCTTTAAGCATCCTGTCTTTATACTGTACTTCCTATACAGTATTCATACTCCCTGTTCATGTCATGTGCTGGACTGGGAATACCTTCCTTAACTACTCGTGCAATAGAAACGTTCAGTTTTGTAATGCCATATAAATTTTTCAGGCTCTTAACCAAGGAAATGCCGAGCTGGTCATCATGTCTGCAAATGGACCATACTACGAACCTGTGGAAGAGATGCCAGAATTGTGTAAAGAAAAGAATGTTCCATACATTTATGTAAAGTCAATGGCATTACTGGGTGCTGCATGTAATGTGGTTTCTGATACAGGTACTAGGGTGTGTGTTCTCATCTCCAAGGATGGCTCTAAACTTAAACACCAGATCAAAACTTTCAGAAAAAAATGTGAAAGGCTCCTGGAACAGTCTGCAAATGTTTAATTATAATATGTATACAGCAATTATACTGTAATGCTTTTATCCAGTGCAGTATCAAGCAACATGCAAATTTATACAGTTATGAAACCAATAAAAAAAATCCTGTTTAATTGAAAATCATTTCACTGTAGTGACATTTGTTGTCATATACAGTAGTTACAAATTACTAAATTTGACAGCATTAAATGTGTGCTTAAAGCAACCTTTTCAATAAATGTTTGATTTTAATTTTTTCTTTGAATAAAACGGTTTATTCCTCGTGTCCATGTCTGAAACAGAAATGCATTGGTAACCAGGAAAAGAAATTACCTGCTCACTCACTGTTCTTTAGAGCATAACTTAATGCCTAGATGTGTTTAGAGAAATGGGGGAAAAAAATGTGCTAAGAGTCGGACAATCAAGTAGAGCCAGATAAGGTATCCTTACAGGCAACTGCTAGCAACAAGGAAATAAGGCAATTATAATATACAAAGAATTTAGTGGAGATCCATTACTTACTCTACAGACCAGTATCAACTGTATTAACCAAATTATTAAAGTACTGTAATGGAAGAAAGTAGAATATCTTGAAAAGAGCATAACCTAAGCGAAAAGAGCATAACATAAGCAGTATCGCTTTAGAGCTGCACGGTTCAGTATATTTTTTTGTGTAACAATAGGTGGAGCAAAGTAGTTGGCAGTGCCCAGATCATGCCCCTCCCCCCCCCCACACACACACACACACACCAATACTGTATGTGTGTGTGCACGTCTCTGCCAGAAAATGTAATATGAAAAGATGAAAAATTTACCAGAAATAAGAAAAAAATGAATTTCAATAAAAATCAGAAGGGGGGTGGGTAGTAGCCAATATTTCTTTATGGGAAGCAATGTATAATGGTTTAAAAGTCAGCTGATAGTAGCCCCAAGCACCTGGCCTTCAACTTTGGACAAGTAGACAAATATATATATGAATGAATGAGCCAGAGATACATTTATGAAAGTTGGGTCGATTCTATCAGGACCTAAAAACGGTATGTGATAGTCTTGCGTAAACGGTTGCTCTGGAAGTTAGCACATTTTCTAACGACAATACGAGAGAAGTGATAATGCAATGTATTGAGACTGGAGATACGTCAGTAATTCCTTCAAGGCTCTATTATTATTGTTCCTTGTCTACTAACACATTATGTGAAGGAATTCATGTTAACAAAAGATGCTAAGCTACTAGAAGAAATAACGACCTTTGCTTATTTTATATAGATTAACTTTAAACAAAAATTCAATGTGGATAAATGCTACATAATGGGGTTCAGTCCCTAGAGTCCATTATGTGCCTCTTAACCGTTTCCACTGCTGACAACAGGATGCGTATGGGGTACATAATAAATGAACTAAACTAAATATTGTTATGTAGACTAAGTGAAAAACAGCAATACTACATCATCTGGAGTACCATATCCGAGCATGGAGACCTCACCTTCAAAAGGACATATCTGCCATAAAGTTCAACATTGCGGTGAAACTCATCCCAGAGCTAATTCAACTCATACCAGTAATAGTTTAAGGCCACAGGGCTAACAACACTGCTAACTAGATACGAGAGGGCTGCTCTCATCGAGACCTTTAAAAATAATGAATAAGTATGAGGACATTATTTTAGATCATTTATTAAATAGGTCAAATGTAATGCATACATAAGGCAACAGCTACAAGCCACAATGTAGGACAATGTTTTACCTAACTACAAACGTCCCAATTCACATAACCTATAGAAGCCGAGGCATAAAATACGTCAATATGACGGTGCTATAATTTTAACTAAAACGTCCCAATTTTAACCTGTTGGTCGATTCCGCTGATTTTAGGTGAATTATTAGGTATCAGAAATCAGGTCAGGTGGTCATTCTCTAAATGTCAAGAGACTACATAGTTTAGCGTTAATCAGGGGAACAGGAAGTCTGGTAGGCTTACCGAGGTTCCCCCAGGGGCTGACTATACCTTCCCTAGGATGCAACCCACAACAATTGGCTATATCTCCCGGGTATGGACGGTGATACCAGGTAAGCAAGAGACGGGCTAAGAACGGTGATGGCAGGTCAGCAAGAGACGGGGTATGAACGGTGATAGCAAGTCAGCAAGAGACGGGCTATGAACGGTGATAGCAGGTAAGCAAGAGACGGGGTATGAACGGTATTGAGTCAAGGGCAGGAGGTAACATCACGTCGGCCATGGGTGTAAACATCATCTCGCCTGTGTTTACATTTTTGGGACACAACACCAGCAAGAAATTCCTTGCCAAGGTAAAACGGGTGGTGGGGGGTGGTGGGTAACTCTCAGACAGGAACACGGAGGATAGGGAGGATATTTTTAGAGTAATAATGTGAGGGCAGGGAGCTGAGGTTGTGCTGGGACGGTGCTGAGGTGGTGCTGGTATGGCGATATGTAGAAGACTGAATGGTCACCTAGATGCTCATTCCTCATAGCCTGACACATTGAATATTTGTTTATGTCCGCCTTCCAGCACGTTAGACAATCCTTGCGGTTACCTTGCGATGATTCCGGGCCTCAGGGGTCCCGCGGCCCGGTCTCTGACCAGGCCTCCTCGTAGCTGGACTGGTCAACCAGGCTGTTGGACGTGAGCAACCTCAACGTTCCCACCTACTTCCAATACTTCCGTGTATTGATTTACAGATCCATCTACGTAACAAATCACATAACATCTAGACAAACTGTTATATATACGAAATTGCTATTGACGACAGAGTTACGTCAGGATGTTTAGTAATTTGTTACGTATGATCCGGACAGGGATATCTTGTCCCGAGTCCTGAGAAATGGTAGTAACATCCCATTAATGGTGTACTGACCTCAGTGCTCCGTGTTAACTGACGATGAACTTTCCTATCATTGCTTCCCATTATCTGTCTCGCATACATTTTTGTCTCCACATTCTGGTACCCGCCATCTATGTTCCAGCTTCCTACGCTTAGCAGTTGGATCTGGAGGGCCACAGTGGCTGGTTTCACAGTTATGAGAGTAGATGACACGGGAGCTCTTGGAAGAAATCTACTGTATTTCTGCTGTATTGGATCCATTTTCTAAAATAAGCTTTTGATGCGTCAAACATGCGAGACGCCGCAAGAAACTGGCTTTTTCCTCGAGGAATGATGAAGGACTTAACTACCGTCACGGGGAACGCGAGGTAAGCACTCAACTGATTAACAGCGATCCCTGTATATGTTTAGTGCAAAATCTAGAATATCAATGAATATGCTTCGCCATGAGAATTTGTTATTATTTATATTATTGTGGTTCATTATAGTGTTGGAGACGGCGTGAAGTGACCACACAAGTTATTCTTGATATATAATGTACTGATGGAGGGAGGTACAGGAGGGGGATAGGGGATAAGGAGATACTGGGAGGAAGGAGGGTGGATAGGGAGGAAAGGGGGAGTATATAGGAAGACCCAACAGGAAGGAGCTGTGTACACGAGGTGTAAACTGTTGACAACTCACCTGAGCCGCGTCTCACAGGTTATTTCCACACTCCTTGTAAGTTTCCCCGCCAAGTGGCCCCGCTTCCTCCGTAGTTCCTGCCTGCGCTGGTAACATTATGCCTAGAGTATACCCGTAGTATACCTAGAGTATACCCGTAGTATACCTGGAGGCGGTTTGAGAGCTCTACTCTCCAAGCCCGGCCTGGGGTCAGCCTTGACTTGTGGTAGCTTGATCTAAAAAGATTGTTACTTGGAGCAGCCCGCAGGCCCTCATAGTCGCTATAACCTGGTTGTACTTTGTTTTCGTAGGGATATTCCTGCGCGGGTCTCAAGCCTCTGGCTGGCCAAGTGCTACTCATTTCAGTATTACCTAGACGATTTTAAGTGTTAAGGACGCGTGTGTTGGCTGTAATAAGGTTACACCTTGTGTGGTTAACACCGTCTCCTGGTTGTACTGGTGTTGTCCGTGCTGCCACCGACACGAATTTATTATTTAAGTCTGCAGAATCGAGCCATTAGACCCTGGACACCGCCTTTCTATACCCCCACCCTGGCCTCTACACTTGGCCCACCCCTGGCCTCCACACTTGGCCCACCCCTGGCCTCCACACTTGGCCCACCCCTGGCCTCCACACTTGGCCCCACCCCTGGCCTCCACACTTGGCCCCACCCCTGGCCTCCACACTTGGCCCCACCCCTGGCCTCCACACTTGGCCCCACCCCTGGCCTCCACACTTGGCCCCACCCCTGGCCTCCACACTTGGCCCCACCCCTGGCCTCCACACTTGGCCCCACCCCTGGCCTCCACACTTGGCCCCACCCCTGGCCTCCACACTTGGCCCCACCCCTGGCCTCCACACTTGGCCCCACCCCTGGCCTCCACACTTGGCCCCACCCCTGGCCCCACCCCTGGCCTCCACACTTGGCCCCACCCCTGGCCTCCACACTTGGCCCCACCCCTGGCCTCCACACTTGGCCCCACCCCTGGCCTCCACACTTGGGCCCACCCCTGGCCTCCACACTTGGGCCCACCCCTGGCCTCCACACTTGCCCCACCCCTGGCCTCCACACTTGCCCCACCCCTGGCCTCCACACTTGCCCCACCCCTGGCCTCCACACTTGCCCCACCCCTGGCCTCCACACTTGCCTCACCCCTGGCCTCCACACTTGCCCCACCCCTGGCCTCCACACTTGCCCCACCCCTGGCCTCCACACTTGCCCCACCCCTGGCCTCCACACTTGCCCCACCCCTGGCCTCCACACTTGGGCCCACCCCTGGCCTCCACACTTGGCCCACCCTCCACAAACACTCCGGCACCCTCCTGATTACCTGATTCTCGTCTGATTAACGACTCTACCAATGAATTAATTATTGGTGTTTGTTTGCTGGGTTGACCCACAAGGCTGGAGAGTGACTGTACACTGTCAAGCCGTCCTCCACCCCTCACACAACTAATTTATACCAACGACCACTAATTTGGCGGCTTGTGTGTGAGGTATCAGGAAGGGGGAGGGGGGGGGGATGTTTGAGTGAGGGGAAGTTTGTAAACGACCAACACCCTTGGCACATGGTTTTTTCCCGACACACAAATAAACAAATCAAGATTTGCTATCCAATATATACATGTTGTAAATAAGGTTAAGTAATTTGGGAGTGTTGTATTTCCTTATTAACAGCATAAGCGGTCGGGTGGGTCGAAGTTATTGGTCGATGGAGAGACTACCTTGATTCTTGCAGGTCGGGGTT